GGGGTTTTTGTTGCGATTTCACTGCAGAAAGCCTGACATTTATGCCGTGGTCGAGTCGCGCATGCGCTCTATGACGGGGAGCCGAAAAAATGTATTCATGCACTGACAACGAGACACGAGGCGGCAGAAAGTCCGAAAGTCGGTAGTCGCGCTCACTCTATTACTTATGTTTACAAGCCTAACCTTACTTGTGATTGTTATGAATGTATCTGTCTTGTTATGTGTCAATGATTTGAGGTTGAAACTGAGTTAATTACAGAAAATGAATATTTATTTTAATGAAATGAGACTTGTTAAATATTTAAATTACAAAAAAAAAAAAACGAGGAATATTCTTTATTCTGATCGATATTCTCAAATAAATAAATCTATTGGTGAACAAATAATTATTTGAAAAAATATACAAACAGATTTTTTTCTTAATTTTTTTTTCTAGGTATGCATTTTACGATTATTATTTCATTTTTCTGTTTTTATTTTATTCTTAAAATCAGAGTTAATTTATGATATATTTATAACGTTAAATTTATTCAGTTAAATTACGATCTTTTCTTAAAAGAAAGTAGTAATATGATAGATTATATATTAATATCTTTATTGACAGGTGTATTTGATGCCTGCCCCCCCGACCAGCAGCACTCGCTTCGCTCGTGCCGCAAATGTCGGGGGCAGGCATCAATTTTTTTCAACGCAATTTTTAACGTACTTTCGACCGCATAGTAAGAAAACTAGTATACACTACATGGGCAGAAATTTGAGAGCCCTGAACTGCGTGCCATGATGCCCTCGGCTTCGCCTCGGGCATATGGCGCGCAGTGCAGGAATCTCAAACTTTCTGCCCTTGTAGTGTAATATACTATTTGTACATCTCCCGAAACGTTCGTCATGAAAAACAGACTGAATTTTTCTCTCAGTCATTAAATTATTTTAAAAAATAATCGAATTGATAGCTGAGTTTCGGTGATAAAACGCGTTAAAAGTGATTGCTATCTTAACAATGGATATTTTTGATCAGCCCTGCTACAAAACCACCAAGAATTTGGCTTCTCTGATTGGCCGGTGGCCGTATCAGCCTCAAAAGCAGAGTTCAATTATTATAACCATCCTTTGGATCGCGCTCGCTCTGCAAACTATTCCACAAGTATCATCTTGACTTAACATTTAATTAAGTTTTTTTAATTGCCATCTCAATTGTGGTGACATTTTTGCAGATTATTGCGATGTTTATATATTACGACGACTCTGATGTTTTATTTGAGGCACTATCGGTGATTCTGGTGGACATTGTCCTTGCAACCAAGTATTTGAACGCGAGCTATCGTGCGGAATTGGTTTGTTTCTAATTGTGTATAATTTTTCTATTTTTTATTTTTTTCAATTGATTTTGCAATCTAGATAAAAACTCTATTTGACAAAGTGCAAATGGATTGGAAATTACTGACAAATGAAGAAGAAAGACGTATTTTACAATATCATGCAGATACTGGACGATTTTTATCTGCTGGATACATAGGTAAATGAAGAATTACCTTTTTTGACAACGGAAAGCATTAGAAAATATTGTAGCTAAATAAAACGAACAAATTTGTTCAAAATTTGAAAATATTAAGGTAGTATTGTCAATACTGCTAGTATCATTTTTAATACTTCTTTTTTTTTAATTAAAATATTATTTTTTTTCCTTACTTCAATTTTTATTGAAACAATCCTTTTGGTAAAATAAAATAATAATAGTAGCTCTTAAAAATTCTAATGAAAATGTTTTCATTATTATCTTACTTTAAAAAAACTGTATTTAATTCTAAACACTAATTAACGTCTACGGCCGACAATACTACCTTAAAATTCTTGCACTAATAAATCATCATGTCGGAAAATAACATAGCAAATAAGTTTATTGTTGATTATCAGTAAAAAATATATTTAATATTAATCAAATTTAAAAATTTTGATATTTTTGCCATACTGTTATATTTAGTCAGAACAATTTCAAATGCATTTAATAAGATTCTGTTATAGTGAAGATAATAAATAATTATAAAAAATAATACCAAGCATTTTTATTCGCATCGTCGGTGATATTTGTCACGGAACCACTTGTACCAAGGATTTACAGCTACCTTTCATGATCTAATGGGTCAGTTCCACTTCTTTCCGCTTTTCCAGCAGAATTCGTATTGTTTGAAAAAGAAGATCATTATTGGTTGATAATGGTTGTCACGAGCACCCTTACTCTGGTAGTTGTAATAGGTGTTATCTCATGCGACGTTATGTTCATCACTCTTTTACAGCATATTTGCGGAATGTTCGCAGTTTTAGGGTAAAAATTTACTATTGTAACCAAAAATGTTCCTTTTACGTGAAAGTGTTATAAATTACAATTTTTTTCGCAGGCATCGCATTGAACACATACCTACTGGTGATTTTATGAAGGAAATCCAAAAGGGAAATTGCATTAGTCATCAAAAAAATGATCAAAATAATTCGTACCAACATTTGGTTTCATGCGTCAAAATGCACTTCAAAGCTATCAAGTAAGAATTTTTGATAATGTGCTATTTTTGAAGGTACTCTATCTAACTAAGTAACATACAAGATTTGCAGAACTTCTCGAAACCTGTTTTGCGCTAAGCTTCGGCGTGGTAGTTGGGCTGAATTTGCCGATGATAAGCATCACCGGTTTTCAAGTACGCTTGCTAAATTACATTACAACACTACCAAAAATTTTTTAAAACAGCCCTTTAATTTTTTTTTCATAGATTATAACACGTTCTAACACAGTTCAACAAATTTTGAAGTGTATATCATTTACTGGCGCCCAAATGCTCCATCTTTTTTTTGACTGCTACTTGTCGCAAAAACTCAATGATTCAAGCTCCCAAATTTGCCATTGCATGTACGTAAAAATTTGATTTGAAAAATTTTGAAAATAATGTAGTTACGCGATTTATGTGTAAAGGGGATTAATTGTAGTACAAGAACAATTATAATATCCGTATTTTTTTTTTTTTTTTTTTTTAGAGCGAATGTAAAATGGTACAACCATTCCGTAAAATCACAAAAATTGTTGGTTGTAATGACAATGAGAAGTCAAGTGCCCTGCAAACTGACCGCCGGAAAAATGATGGAGTTATCGATCGAGAACTATGGAATGGTACAAAAAATGTTTTTACTCAATACCTTTTTTTTAACCCGTACAAAAAAAATTTTGGTTCCGGATGAATTTCCGGATGAACTTCAGATTTTGAAACAAATATGAATTTCATCGGGAATTCCAGCTGAATTTCATGATGAATTTGAACTAAATCGCATATAAAACTTAATTTTTTTAATTTGTAAAAAAATATTCGGAGTCAATCATATTGGAATTTTTAGTTTTACTTACACTGGCTCAACATTTGCAATTCTATAACGTCTATTTGGATAAATTTTTTGGAGTAGAAAAACACAAAATGTAAAATAATAATTCGAAATTCAATATGAAAGTCAGCTGGAATTCCAGATGAATTTCATGATGAATTTGAATCACTTTGTATATGAAACTTAATTTTTTTAATTTGTGAAATAATATTTGGAGACAATTATATTGGAATTTTTAGTTTTATTTACACTGGCTCAACATTTGCAATTCTATAACGTCTATTCGGATAAATTTTTTGGAGTAGAAGAACACAATGTGTAAAATAATAATTCAAAATTCATCATGAAAGTCAGCTGGAATTCCAGCTGACTTTCATGATGAATTTCGTAATATTATTCTGAATGTTGTGTTCTTCTACTTCAACAAATTTATCCAGATTGAAGTTTAAGGATCGTCAATGGTGAGTCAGTGTAAATAAAAATAAAAATTCCATTATAATTGTCTCCGAATATTATTTCACAAATTAAAATAATTAAGTTTCATAAACTATTTGTTTCAAATTCATCTGGAATTCCAGCTGACTTTCTTGATGAAATTCATATTTGTTTCACAATCTGAAGTTCATCGGCAAATTCATCCGGAACCAAAATTTTTTTTGTACGGGAAAGAAGCTATTTTATTATTTTTTTATTTTTCCAGATGGTGAGTTGAAATTTTAGGTTTTTTTTACAAAAATAAATTGTAAATTACTTCAGAAAAACTTCCTTGAATTTTTCCGCAGCTGAAAACTGCGGGTTCGTACTTCACAATGTTACTGTCAATGCAGTAAAAATATTGAAATGCTTCGGTAATTATATATTTTCTCATAGTTACAAAATGTACGAGAAATTAAATGAAACTATTTTATCAAACATAAATTTTTGGATTAATTAAAAAAAATTTCCTTCTTTCTTCAAAAGTATGAATTTTTTTCACTGCTTTAAAGTTATGTTTTGTATAACAGTTTTGCATTCAGTGCAATGATAAAATAAATGCAAAAAAATGATCAATTATTAATTTTAAGACTCTCATCCTTTATTTATTCATCCTCTACTATAAATTATTTATTTAATCTCAATTATTTGGTTTGTAATTCACATATTTGTTATTTTATGACTATTGTATTATTAAAACTTGTAAAAAAAAAATATATAAAATTGCACAAATTTTTTTGGCACAACGTCAAAGTATGATCACCGTAAAATGATAAATATTCAGTCAGCACTCAGTAAGTAAACCCGTAAAAATTGTCCCAAGAGAAACATAATTAAATATTAATCTTAAAAAATTACATATTCACACTGAAGTTTCTAATTTATAGAAAATTATCTTCACGAAAATTAAATTCTGCGAATTACTTATTATTATGAACAAAGATAGACATCATCTAATGGAATATTTAATTAGGTGAGTATTGAAGGGGTGAATTTATGCACGCGAGCGATTGTCACTTTCAACCATAAGACACTTCGTATATTTCCAAAGCGTTCGTCATGGACAATAGTCTCGACAATTCTTTTTGTAAATAAAGTGCTTCAAGAAATAATCGGATTGAAATTCAAACAATGGATATCTTCGATAAGCCCTACTATAAATCAACCAAGAACTTTGCTACTGGGATTGGACGGTGGCCGTACCAATCTCGAATGCAGAGTTTGATAATAATTACTTTCTTATGGATTGTATTTTTTTTGCAAGCTATTCCACAAGTATCATCTTGATTTAAAATAAATTCAAAATTTTTAAACTGCGATAATATTTGTGGTAACAATTTTTCAGATTTTTGCGCTTGTCATGTACTCTGATGACCGGGATATTCTAATTGAAGCATTGTCATCATTCATTGTAGACGTTGCACTTGCAGCGAAATATTTAAACGCGAGTTATCATGCTGATTTGGTTATTTTTTTATTGTAATTGTATTTTTGTGACAAGCTATTGTGGTTTGATGATTAATTTTGTATTTTAGATAAGAAATTTATTCGATAAAGTGCAATTAGATTGGAAATTGATGATGAACGAGGGAGAAAAACGTGTTCAAGAATATCATTCGGAGACTGGAAGGATTTTAGCTACTGGATATGGAGGTAAATAGTGAAATAGAGTTTTTGAACGAACGAGGCATTCGAAAATAATTTAGCTTCAGTAAAATTTTATTAATATAGTTGGGCCCTATCAGACATATTTCAAGAAAATTATGAAATTTTTTTATCGAAAGATAAATATATTAATAATTCACCACGAAAATTTCAGATCAATTTACCACACCGTTTTTGAGTGATACATTTTTGAAATTGCATCATTTACACGCAAAGATATAGAGAAATGATAAAGTTAGTATGAAATTAAACATCATTTCTTAGTATTCAAAAAATATTTCTTAGTATTCATAATACTACTAAGAAATATTTTTTAAATACTAAGTAATCATGTTTAAGAAATGATTTCTTAAATACTAAGAAATTCTTCTATCAGTGTATACCTTTGCGTAATTACCTTAAAGCCCAATTACCTTGAAGGTAAAATAGCTTCGAAAGCATTGTAATCTAACGAGCTGAAAAATAATATTGAATTATAATAATTAAATAATAATATTAATAATAAGCATTTTTATCCGCATCGGCAATGATATTCATTATGGAACCAATTGTACCAAGGATATACAGCTTATTTTCAACATCCAATGAATCTATTTCATTTCGATTCGCTCTTCCGCTAGAATACGTGATATTCGAAAAAGAAGATCACTATTGGCTGATGCTGACCATCTCTAATACGTTTGTTCTCATAATTATATTTGGTTTTATTTCATGCGATCTTATTTTCATCACATTGCTGCAGCATATTTGCGGGCAATTCGCTGTTTTAGGGTAATATTTTAGTATTTCATCACCGAAAATGTTCCTTTTTACATGACAATAATTTACAATGTGTTTTGTAGGTATCGCATAGAAAACACGCCTACTGCTGAAATTACAACAAATAACGAAAAAGAAGAATTGATTATTTCTCAAAAAATTGATCAAGATGCTTCTTACCAACATTTAGTTTCATGCATCCAAATGCACAGCAGAGCATTGGAGTACGTTTTTTTTGATACTTTGTAATTTTGGAAATTTATTATAACTGTTATTGATTGGATATATTTATAAAGATTTGCAGAGCTTCTTGAAGAGTGTTTTGCAATGAGCTTCGGAGTGGTGATTGGCATAAATTTACCGATTATGAGTCTTACTGGCTTTCAGGTATGATTATCTAATTACAATGGTACACTGAAAGAAAATTGACTGGTTAGCTGATCCAAAAAAAATAATTTTGAAAAGTTTGATTGTTTGATTTAAGAAACTTTTCAAGAAAATTTTTAATTGTTTCAAGACATTGATTTTGACAATTTTTTCAGATCATAACGCAATCCAGCACAGTGCAACAAATTTTGAAAAGTTTATCATTCTCTGGCAGTCAAATCCTCCATCTTTTTTTTGACTGCTACATGTCGCAGAAACTCAATGATTCAAGCTCAGAAATAGCTCAAAGCATGTATGCATATTCTTATTGAATAATTATTATCATTGTTATGGCAACATAAGAAAATATTTAAGAGAAAAAAAAAACTATCTCTTTTTACCTTTTTAATAAAATTAAGATTTAATTAAAATACTTTTCAATTTAGTGCTAATATAAAATGGTACAACCATTCCGTCCGATCGCAAAAATTGTTGGTTTTAATGACAGTAAGAAGTCAAGTGCCCTGCAAATTGACGGCTGGAAAAATTATGGAATTATCTATTGAAAACTTTGCACTGGTAAAAAAAAAAAGGGATTTTTTTTAGTATCTTCCATAAAGAGTTTTATTTTTTCATTTTTATTTTTTTGCAGATGGTAAGTTAAAACCCGAAATTATACTCCGAAAATTTTGGTATAGTGGCTTGAACCAATTTTACATAAATTGATACTGAGAAAAAAAATAATTTTTTTTATAGTTAAAAACCGCTGGATCGTACTTCACAATGTTATTATCAATGCAGTAAAAATTTATTAACGAGTATCTGATTTTATTTAAGTAATATTGTAATAGTTAACACAATGTATGTAATTAGAACAATTTAAGCAATTAAAAGAGTTAGTTTTACATAAAAGTATTTTTTTTTTGCGTTGGTATATTTCCAAATTCCGTAAAATTCTTTCTTAACTTGTAAACTGGAAATTTTGAACTTAAAAATTAATTTTAACCCTGGAATGACTAGTGTTATATAAAACTGTTCTAAAGTCAGATCCAAATAATTAAAAAAGCACACAAAAATATTAATTTTTTTCTTATAGTAACTAATTTTTAGTTATTTAGAGATTTACATAATAAATATCTGTTAACGTTGTTAGTTATATTTATTAAAAGTCATAAACAAACTTTTGTTCGAAGCTATAATGTCAAATTCAATGAATTCATATTGAAAAAAATAAATTTAATAATAGCAATAAAATGACTGTCGAAAATAAAATATTCTGCTTGAAATATCTTAAATTTATACTGAAGCCGATACATTACAGCAAAATATAATTGCACAAAATATAGTATTAATCTTTGCATGATAGAATTATCAAACATAGACACCATCAGATGGAATATTTTATTAGGTAAGCATCAAAAGGGTGAGTCTTTACACGCAAGTAACCGCAACTTTCAAACAAAAGACATTTTGTACATCTCCCGAAACGTTCGTCATGAAAAACAGACTGAATCTTTCTCTTATTCATTAAATTATTTCAAAAAATAATCGTATTGATAGCCGAGTTTCGGTGATAGAACGCATTAGAAGTGATTGCTTTCTAAACAATGGATATTTTCGATCAGCCCTGCTACAAAACCACCAAGAATTGATTGGCCGGTGGCCGTATCAGCCTCAAAAGCAGAGTTCGATTATTATAACCATTCTATGGATCGTGTTCTTCTTGCAAGCTATTCCGCAAGTAAACTACATTTAAGATAAGCCGTATTTTTTTTTTTTTTTTTTTTTTTTTTTTATTTAAACGCAACTTATCATGCTAAATTGGTCCGTTTTAATTGAATTTAATTTTTTTTTCTTATACTTTTTCGTTTGACTGATTTTGGATTATAGATAAGAAATTTGTTCGATAAAGTGCAGAGGGATTGGAAGTTGGTGATGAATGATGAAGAAAAACGTGTTCTGCAATATCATTCCGAAATTGGAAGATTATTAACAGCTGGATATACAGGTAAATGAAGAGCGAGTGTTTTGAACTTTGTAAAATAACTTGTGTAAAATACTCGAACATTGATCTAAAATTATCGCAAGAAAATTTTTTATTGCTTCACTAAGACATAGTCACTCGAAAAAATCTGTTAACAATTAATTAAAATATATTAAGAGTAAAAAATTACTCTAAAATTTCGTTGCGTTAATTCAGTTAGAACAATTTTGAATCTATAGTAGTGTAATCAGTATATAGTGATAAATAATAATAAAAAGTAATAACAATCATTTTTGACCATAACGCTGGTGATATTTATCATGGAATCGATTGTACCAAGGATATACAACTTCTTTTCAACATCCAATGGATCTAGCTCCCTTCGATTCGCCCTTCCGCTAGAATATGTAATAATTGACAAAGAAGAGCACTATTGGGTATTGCTGACCATCTCTAATATATTTGTTGTAGTTTTTATATTCGGTATTATTGCATGCGATGTTATTTTCATCACATTACTGCAGCATATATGCGGGCAGTTCGCTGTTTTGGAGTAACATTTTAGTATTTCATCACCAAAAATGTCCCTTTTTACATGACAATAATTTACAATGTATTTTGTAGGTATCGCATAGAAAACACGCTTACTGCTGAAATTACAACAAAAAACAAAAAAGAAGAATTCATTAGTTCCCAAAAAATTGATGAAGATGTTTCTTACCAACATTTGGTTTCATGCATCCAAATGCACACCAGAGCTATTGAGTACGTTTTTTTGATACTTTGTAATTTTGGGAATTTATTATTACTGTTATTGATTGATGAATCATTAAAGATTTGCCGAACTTCTTGAAGAGTGTTTTGCTATGAGCTTCGGTGTGCTAGTTGGCATCAACTTACCAATGATAAGCCTCACCGGTTTTCAGGTATGGTTACCAAATTGGAGTAATACACTTGTACCAAAAATATTTTTGAACTAACCCTTGATGTTCACTTTCAGATCATTACGCAATCTAATACAGCCCAGCAAATTTTGAAAGGCTTGACATTTATTGCTTGTCAAATGCTCCATCTTTTTTTTTACTGCTACATGTCGCAAAAGCTCAATGATTCAAGCTCAGGAATTGCCCAAAGCATGTAAGCATGTTTTTATTAAAATTGAAGGAATTTTTATGGAATTTCTTCCTTTTTTTTTTTTTTTTTTTTTTTTTTTATTTAAACGCAACTTATCATGCTAAATTGGTCCGTTTTAATTGAATTTAATTTTTTTTTCTTATACTTTTTCGTTTGACTGATTTTGGATTATAGATAAGAAATTTGTTCGATAAAGTGCAGAGGGATTGGAAGTTGGTGATGAATGATGAAGAAAAACGTGTTCTGCAATATCATTCCGAAATTGGAAGATTATTAACAGCTGGATATACAGGTAAATGAAGAGCGAGTGTTTTGAACTTTGTAAAATAACTTGTGTAAAATACTCGAACATTGATCTAAAATTATCGCAAGAAAATTTTTTATTGCTTCACTAAGACATAGTCACTCGAAAAAATCTGTTAACAATTAATTAAAATATATTAAGAGTAAAAAATTACTCTAAAATTTCGTTGCGTTAATTCAGTTAGAACAATTTTGAATCTATAGTAGTGTAATCAGTATATAGTGATAAATAATAATAAAAAGTAATAACAATCATTTTTGACCATAACGCTGGTGATATTTATCATGGAATCGATTGTACCAAGGATATACAACTTCTTTTCAACATCCAATGGATCTAGCTCCCTTCGATTCGCCCTTCCGCTAGAATATGTAATAATTGACAAAGAAGAGCACTATTGGGTATTGCTGACCATCTCTAATATATTTGTTGTAGTTTTTATATTCGGTATTATTGCATGCGATGTTATTTTCATCACATTACTGCAGCATATATGCGGGCAGTTCGCTGTTTTGGAGTAACATTTTAGTATTTCATCACCAAAAATGTCCCTTTTTACATGACAATAATTTACAATGTATTTTGTAGGTATCGCATAGAAAACACGCTTACTGCTGAAATTACAACAAAAAACAAAAAAGAAGAATTCATTAGTTCCCAAAAAATTGATGAAGATGTTTCTTACCAACATTTGGTTTCATGCATCCAAATGCACACCAGAGCTATTGAGTACGTTTTTTTGATACTTTGTAATTTTGGGAATTTATTATTACTGTTATTGATTGATGAATCATTAAAGATTTGCCGAACTTCTTGAAGAGTGTTTTGCTATGAGCTTCGGTGTGCTAGTTGGCATCAACTTACCAATGATAAGCCTCACCGGTTTTCAGGTATGGTTACCAAATTGGAGTAATACACTTGTACCAAAAATATTTTTGAACTAACCCTTGATGTTCACTTTCAGATCATTACGCAATCTAATACAGCCCAGCAAATTTTGAAAGGCTTGACATTTATTGCTTGTCAAATGCTCCATCTTTTTTTTTACTGCTACATGTCGCAAAAGCTCAATGATTCAAGCTCAGGAATTGCCCAAAGCATGTAAGCATGTTTTTATTAAAATTGAAGGAATTTTTATGGAATTTCTTCCCTTTTTTCTCACAGAGCTAATGTAAGTTGGTACAAACAATCGATTAAATCACAAAAATTGCTAGTTGTAATGACAGTGAGGAGTCAGGTGCCCTGCAAATTGACTGCCGGTAAAATTATGGAGCTGTCAATTGAAAACTATGCAATGGTAAAAAAAAAAAATTGTTTCTTATACCTTTTTTGAAAATGATTATTTTATAATTTTTCATTACTTGCAGATGGTAAGTCTATAATGAAAAATTTCATTTTATACAAATTTTAAGAGTATTACTTTGATGGATTGTAAATTTCATTGAAAAAAAAATATTATCTTGCAGCTAAAGACGGCTGGGTCGTATTTTACAATGTTACTGTCGATGCAGTAAAAATTTTGTCGAAATTTCGTCGAAGATATTTTCTACAATTTATACGATGTGATTAATATATTTGAGAGAATTAGTTTTATAGAAAAATAGATGCAATTAGAATACTTAATAAATAGTCACCCTTACATATTTGTTCTTTTGTTTTCGCTATTGTTTTCCAGAGCTGAGTGACGTCTGAAGAAAGAAAAATTTAATTAGTAACACACAATTTTTGATTAATAATTAATTTAAGTACCAACATACAACTTAAGTAACTTCATTATTTGTTGCTCTGTTTTTAATGTTTAATTACGAAAAAATTCGTAAATACAATACTTTCATATTAAATTTATTCTAAATTCTATTATCTTGTACTTGATTGATTAATTTTCAATGTTAAAAACAAAAAATTGAATTTTTATTTTAAATATTACATTTTTGAATATACGAAAATTTTTTTAAAATAAATAACTAGAGTTTCTTTTGCAAAAATAAACTTATTTCTAGGATTATTTACATCCAATATTTCTCAAACCACTTAAAAATAAAATTCGAAACCATCGTTTCTGTTATTGGCAACATATTTTTTATAATGTTGTTATTATAATATAAATTTCGCAATAGAATTCTGTAGTTGGTAGATAATCACTAAACAATTGTACAAAATACTGTAGAATATTTACGTCACTTGGTTCACTGTTCGATGAAACGTAGTAAAATAATTAGTAAAAGTTTTTTTTCTTAACTTTCTAGGTATTTTTGTAGAAAGGTATATATTTTCAACAAAAAAATGTATTTTTATTTATTTCTCTGCCAGCAAAAAATTAATATTTCGATTAAAAAGAAATATAAAGGAGAAAATCACTTTTTAATTTTTTTCTACACTGTATCATTAAATAACAAAAAATTTAGAAAATTTCTGAGTACAAAAAAAGTGTAAGATATTTTTTTTAAATGATAAAAAAATCGATATTTTTTAATTTTCAATTTCACTATAAAAAAAATCATTGATTTTCAAAGCGGGCAGTTAAAAAAAAAGTGAAAACGAAAAAAACAGTTTTTTTTAATGCACTAAAAAAAAAATTTTTGTCCAGAAAAAAATTTCTTGGCTCAAAAATCGTTTAAAATAAATTTTGGTTTTTTGAGAAAAGAATTTCAATATCTATCATGATAATAAAATATTGACATTGATTTTGATAGATTAACAAACGAATAGATTCACTTGAATTAAACAAAAAATAATTCGATCAATCAATGCAACATTGCTAATCTAATCTGTGATGGCCAAGTTTCAAATCTTAACAGATGTTTAAATGCATATTTTTTTTCAGTACTCATAACAATCCGTTTTCTTCCTATTATTTTTTCTTTTTTTATTTTCTTTCAGTGCACTATTTTTTAAGTACATTAAAGTATTATTGTTTTTTACTTCCGTTTTTGTATTTTACAAATATGTAATAGGATATTGTAAAAGGACGTTAAATTTATAAATTTATACTCTAGTGAGCCTGTTTATTGGCCATTGTTGTTGGGTCTTTATGTAAAGAAATAAATAAATAAATAAATTCTTGAGACAAGAAAATTTCTTCAAGAGTAGTACTTTTTTTTCTCTGTGTAACTCAAAAACGGCTTAAAATTTTAACTGAATTATTTTGACTTGCTACCAAAACATCTCTAAAGTTTAAATCAAAAAAGCTACGGTAGTAAAATTTTTCATAAATATCCCGCTATATCCTTTTTCAAAAGAAAATTAAATATTCAACGCTTAACAAGGCGCATTATAAATTCGCTTTGAAGTTACAATGTACGATTTGAAGTTACAATGTACGACAGTTTTCAAGAACAGCTTGTTAGTTACAAATCAAAAACAATAACTCGATCTGACAGAATTTATAACGAAGGTAAGTTTTAAAGGAGCTAGTCTGCGTACACCATCGAACAAGGAGCACATTCAACGTTCAGTTACCGCAATGGACAGTACATTGCACAGTCTTTTGGGTATAAATCGATTTCTTCTGGAGCGGTTAGGACAGTGGCCGCACCAAAGTGAACTTAACAAAATATGCAGCTTCATAAGCGCTGTTTTTTTTCTTTTTACTCAAGTTCTCTTTCAGGTATTTTATAAATTTTTTCGGATTGTTAGTATTTTTATTCAGGAATTTAAAATTAAAAAAATAATTTTTAGACCGGCGGGATGATTGCTGCTTCGTGTGACATGCCAGTATTTTTGGAATCGATACCACCAGTTTTAGTGAGCTTTGTGTGTCTTATTAAATTCACTAATTTTATTATCAACGCTGAAAAGGTTCATCTGATAATTACAATTATCAAGTATTATAGTGTTGTGGAATAATTATAATGAAATTATTTTTTATCAACAGATGAAGAAGCTTCTTAATACTATGGATTATGATTGGAAGACAATTAATGATCCAGAAGAAAAAAGAATTTTACATTTTTGGGCGACAAGAAGCAGAAAATATAGTATTTATTATTTCGGTGTGCATTTTTTAATTTTTTTATTATTTTGTGGAACTTTTTCATAAAAAAATTTTATTTTAAATATTAATTTAGTGAAGTCGCTTCAGTTTTCCAAATAATTTTTTAAAAAATTTTATTTAATGATGTCACTGCTGTTTAAATACCAACGCGCTTAATTTTTAATGATTTTTTACAATTCAAAATTCAAAATTTGAACTTTGGTGCTTTTTACTGAAAAATTTGATTTTTTTTTCAATAAAGACAAAAAAAGTTTGAAAATTACTTAAAAAATTAAAAAAGATTTAATTATTGTATTTTCAATCCAAAAAAGTTCAAATTAACAATTTTAATTAATCAAATCAATTTTTTTTTCAATTTCAAAATTTCCATACTTTATTAAAATATTCCGCAACATTTCAAACTAACATAAAATTAAAAAATTATTTCCAGGTGCAGTTTGTGGATCGATGGTCCCCTTCATGCTGAGCCCAGTAGTGCCAATGATAATCAGACTTTTTCCCGAAGAATTGATATCTCCGAACAACAGCATCGCGTTGATAAGACCATTGATGTTCCGCGTAGACTATTTTCTCAACATAGATAAATACTATCATTTAATAGTTTTTCACTCGATATTCGGTACACTGGCCTATATCACCGTAGCCGCTGGCATAGACTCGATGTTTTTGGTTTATGTGCAGCACGCGTGCGCAATGTTCCACATTATCGGGTACGGATGCAAAATCAACCAAAATACGCATGATACAATAGTATATTACACACCTAGGGAAGGAAAGTAAGAAATGTCTCAGATCACATGTAATTGTTGGCCGAGGCGGAGCCGAGGTCGACAAAAATATGATCTGAGGTTTTCTTTTTCACTTTCCAAAGGCTGTATACTATTTTTTTTATCCGATGAAGGCGGAAAGCGGCAACTTTATTTACATATAGCGCAGCGAGACGAAAGTTGCCATATTCCGCCCAGAGGGCAAAAAAAATAATAAACATAGTTTTCCACACAGACATCGAGTAAGCCATCTGTCGGACGACGACAACATTGATATTGACTTCAAGCCTCACATATTGAATGACAAACCTTACCAACAGATGGTCAAGTGTATCATTGAGCACAGTAAGACTCTTGAGTTAGTTAATTTACTTCTTTTTATACTTCAAAAAAAAAAAAATTATTTTTGTCTGTAATTTTTATTATAATTGCTGATATTTTTTTATTCAGATTCTCACAAACGATCGAATCAGCAAACACAATGTCATTTTTTCTCCAATTGGGAATGAATATGATCACTATCAGCTTCACTGGATTTCAAGTGATTTTTTTTTTTTAATTGCTAATTATTGTTATCAGCAATTATTATTATTAAGGGAAAAAAAATTTTACCAGGTTGTATCAACATTGGATGAGCCAGGAATAGCTTTCAGGAATGCAGGGTTCTCAATTACGCAAACGTCAATTCTTTTTTTCGTCAGTTGGCCGTCACAAAGATTAGCGGATGAAAGTGTCAAAGCATGTCTGGCTACGTAAATCAAATTTACTTCCTAAAAATCAAAATTTACAATTAAAATTAACCTGATATTTCTTTTTTTAGAACAAGAGCTGCTTGGTACTTGACTTCGAGTAAAACACGACAGTTGCTTCAATTATTTATCATGAGAAGTGCAGTTCCTTGTCAATTGACGGCCGGAAAATTTTATCTTTTGAACATGCAAAATTTCAGCGCAGTATGTAATGTGATACAAGTTTTTTGAGTTGTAATTTGATGGGATTACGCTTTTCAGGTCGTTAAAACATCTGTTTCGTATATGATGATCCTTCTTTCCACGCAGTAATTGGTAATTTAATAAAAATATTTGCGTTGCTGATATAATTAATGTTAAGTCATGTTTAAAGCTGAAATTGAATATTAATATATTTTTAATTAGTTAAATATTTTGAGTGTTCATAAATTAGGTTTATTAATATTTTTTTTTTTATTAATGTAATATGTAGGAGTTAAAAAAATGTAATTTAAAAAAAAATATTGAGAAATTAAAACAGCATTTTGTTATAAGCACAAAAATTGAAGATTTTTATTTTTATTTTAATAATTAAATAATTTAATTAATTTTTCTGGTAAAAATCTTCTGAAAAAAACCTTATTTTTTAGTAAATTTTCTTCAAGAAAATTTTAATAAAAATAAAAAATTTCATAAAGAAAAATTTGTTAAAAATTCTAGACTAATAATTTCACAAAAAAAAATTTATTTTAGTATTTACACGCACTAAAAACTGTATATAGATAGAATTAAGCTTCAATAAAATAATTTTTATCAATTTTATTAAGTTGTTCAGCAACTAAAATTTAATTTTAGTAAAAATCTCAAGAAAATTCAAAGTATAATGACAATAAAGTATCACTTTTCCTCAGTCCGACATCAAAACTAAAACAGAATAACAAATAACAAACTTCGTCTGAAAAATTAAAAATTTATAATCGAAAAGTGACTTCTCAGTATATAATGTCACAAGAAAAGATGATTGCGTGTGTTAATATCAAACTGTATAAACTTTCTGAGAGAATAAATAATTAGGAGCGGTTATAGCGCATTCAGTTTTGACACGCAAGCTTTTAAACATCGGGACACTTACACCGAAGTCATCACAATGGACAATACCCTAGACAGTCTGTTACGTGTCAATCGACTCCTTTTGTCATCCCTCGGACAATGGCCGCAGCAAGATCGAGTTTCTAAATTGTGTACACTTACAAGCGCGATTTTCTTCCTTATTACTCAAGGATACTTTCAGGTATTTTAAACTTATTTTCCACAGTGTACTTTGATGAAAAATAAACAAATTGTGAACAAGAGACTTAAAAAAATTCTACGGAGCAAAATTTTTGTTCAAAAATTTTTTTGAACTTAATTATAAAGAAACAAAATTTTGAATTTTTTAATTTTTGAAAAAGGTAGGAGGAATGATAGCTGCTTGGTGTGACAAGCCAATATTTATGGAATCAATACCGCCTGTGTTGATAAGCATCGTGTGCGTTTTCAAATTTATCAATTTCAACTACAATGCTGATAAGGTTCACAAAATAATCATTTTTTTACAATTAATAATTTTTGTAAATTACTTTAAAATTACGTCTATAAAATTAGTATTGACACAATCCAGCATTGACCAACATTATCAATAAATTCTCGGAATTTAATTAAGTAACAAAATTCTAATTAGAGCAACTAATTAGCACCAAAAAAGCAACAAATTTATCACCAAAATAGTAGTATATTACACTACAAGGGCAGAAAGTTTGAGATTCCTGCACTGCGCGCCATATGCCCGAGGCGAAGCCGAGGGCATCATGGCACGCAGTTCAGGGCTCTCAAATTTCTGCCCCACGGAAGGGAGAACAGAATATTTCTCGTTTTTTTTTTTTTTTTGTAATTTAAATATTTAACAAGTCTTATTTCATTAAAATAAAATGACAAAGTTAGTAGTCACTTAATCATTTCTTAATTTTTTTTATCAAATAAATTAAAAAAAAAAAATGGTTTTTAAAAAATTGCAATTTTTTTTCTAATTTTTTTTTGCACTAATTTATTTTTTTTTAAAATTCTAAAATTTATTAAATATCTGCTACTTTAATTTCCATTAAAATAAATAATCATTTTCTGTAATTAACTCAGTTTCAACCTCAAATCATTGACACATAACAAAACAGATACATTCATAACAATCACAAGTAAGGTTAGGCTTGTAAACATAAGTAATAGAGTGAGCGCGACTACCGACTTTCGGACTTTCTGCCGCCTCGTGTCTCATTGTCAGTGCATGAATACATTTTTTCGGCTCCCCGTCGTAAAGCGCATGCGCGACTCGACCACGGCATAAATGTCAGGCTTTCTGCAGTGAAATCGCAACAGAAACCCCGTACTTTCGACCAGCGTAGTAAGAAAATAAATTTTATTGCTTTAATAATAATTGAAAAGAAATTTTGTTGGTTTAATAATGATCAAAAATAAATTTTGTAGCTTTAATAACGATCAAAAATAAATTTTGTTGCTTTAATAATGATCGAGATACTGATATTCAATGCGGGATGAGTCAATACCAGCCTTATAGATGTCTAAAAATTAATGATAGATGAGATCACTCCTCGAGAGCATCCAAGCCGACTGGAATACTATAAATGATGAGGAAGAAATAAAAATTTTGACATCTTGGGCCAAGGACAGCAGGAAAAATGCCATTATGTACGCAAGTACGTCTAAAAAAATTATTATTATCAATAAATTAATAATAAAATAAACTTTGATTTGAATTATAACCCAGCCGCGGTCTACGGATCAATGGTTCCATTCATGTTAGGACCTCTGATCCCAGTTTTCTGCAAGCTTCTGCCGGAAAGCTTGATCTCCTCAAACAGCAGCATCGCCAATACAAAGCCTGTGATGTTCCACATTGAGTACTTGTACGACATGGACAAATATTACATCCCGCTGGTAGTTCATTCGTACTTTGGTACCATGACATACATCACTGTGGTAATTGCAGTCGATACCATGTTCATGGTCTATGTTCAGCATGCCTGCGCGATATTTGTGATTGTTGGGTACCATAATTATTCATACAATTTTTTTTGCAAATTAGGAAAATTTTTGATGGTGTTTTTTAATTTTGACAGAAATAGGTTGGAACATCTGGTGGACAATGATGTAATTAATATCGACATTAATCCGCGGATTTCCAGCGACAAACCTTATCAGAATATGGTCAAGTGTATTATTGAGCACAGTAAGGCTCTTGAGTTAGTTAATTTAAATTTTTTAATTAATAATTTAATTATTCTTAGAGAAAATTAGTGTATAAGATATTAATTGTTTTTATTAGCTATGCTAATATGATTGAATCGGCGATGTCCTTTTCTTTCTTCTTTCAATTGGGGTTTAATATGATTACTATCAGTTTTACTGGCTTTCAAGTAAGTTTCATTTTTTTTTAATAACTATTTTTTGTAAAATTATAAAAATTTCATTTATAATACTCTTAAATTTTTAAAAAAATATATTGCATGCCTTAAGCGCGAATGCTTTTTTTAGGCCCTCTACTGGGCCTAAAAATAAAATCAAGTTTCCTATCTTTTCCAGAGAAGTTGTATTTTTAATCCATAATCCTCGAACAAATGTTCAAAAAAAATACAATGGTAGCAAGAAAAATGATTACTGAACGAATTAAAAACACTACTTCGTAAATTAACTATCAATTTTAGTGAAAAAACCCGTTTTTTTAGAACTTTAGTGATAAAAACTATCAAAATATGGTGGTGTGGTCAAGAAAACTAAGAATATATACAATTTTAGGATTCATTTTCTTTTTAAACCCTGTCATTAAACTTTAATGAAGAATCATATGCAATATCAAAGCTTGATTTTGCGTTGTTTAGTCGTAATTAAAACATTTTGATAGGCATGAACACCGAATTTTCCTATTTTGGTCGGCCATATGTTCAATTTTTTTACTAAACAGAGTTTTCGCAGTGACTTTGCGACCGAGCCAACGTATGAATGCATATCGACTTGTTAGTAGTTGAGGGCGTTTTATTCGCATCATAAGTAATTACTGTACGCGGGAAATTAAAAAAATTTAAATAGGTTTTACCTAACTTTTTTTATTTTTTACTCTATTATTTTTTTTTTCATTTTAATTTAAAATTAATTTTTTATAATCTTATTTAAAAATGTAGTCACATTTTTTTTCATATAATAAAAAATTTTAGAAGGAACAAAGTTGAATGCTTCAAATAAAAATTAAGCGTAAAAACTGTTTATTTTATTTCAATTCCAATTGATTAATAGTTTAAATTTTTTTAAATAAATTACTTGTTTTTTTTTTATTTATTAAAGAGTAATTAATTGAACTTTATGTAAAAGATTTTGAAAAAAAATAAATTTTCTAAATTAATAATATGATATATAATGTTACCTTTTTATTATTATTTTATCAGGCTATAACAAAATTAGATCGTCCCGACGAATCTTTTCGATACGCAACATTCACAATCGCCCAAACCTGGGTTCTATTTTTTCTAAGCTGGCCGTCTCAACGATTGGCTGATGAAAGTACTCGAATAAGCGAAACCACGTTTGTAAAACATAAAAACCATCACTTTAGTACTATAAGAACAGCTGAGAAAATTTTTTTTTAATTAAAATTATCCACAGGACTAGATCCAAGTGGTACCTGACTTCTTTGAGGTCACGAAAACTTCTCCAATTATTTATTCTGAGGAGTTCTGTTCCCTGTCAATTGACCGCCGGGAGTTTTTACATCTTAAACATGCAGAACTTCAGCTCAGTTGTCCGGACTTCAGTCTCATACTTTATGGTTTTATGTTCAATGCAGTAAATTTATAAAATAACAGTATTATAAAGATCAAATTTAAAATAGTAATGTTTCATCAAAATTCTGTAAAATTTATAAAAAAATTTTTTACCTAGTTTTCAGGTTTTGTATCCTATAGTTTTTAAATAAAATATGTTTAGCCTAAAAAAATTTTTTTTAATCATTTTAAAATATGAAAAATAATTATTAGAATTATGAAAAAAATTTTTTAAATAAAAAATATTACTCACTTATGTGTAGATTAATTTTTTTTTAATATTATTAAAATTTTCTATTAACGTCGAAGAAAATAATTTGAAATTTCAGAGAAGAAGTGAATTGTTCAAATTTAGATTTAAATTAAAGTTGAAGAAAAGCAAAAGCATAATGACAAAAGTCAAGTCAATATTCTTCGAAGAAAATAATTTAAAGAGAATACAAAATAATGAAAAGTTATAAATTTATATTTAAATATCTTCTTAGTATTAGCTATAATGTTCAAAAAGTACACTAAGGGATATTAATATCAAACGCGCTGTGTACTTTCCAAGAGAATAAATAATAAGGGCAGCTAATGCACGCTTTACTTTTGACACGCGAGTTTCGAAAAACACAAGGACACATTCATTACAATATTCACCCTCGACACATCATCATGAATAATACACTGGACAATTTCTTGCGCTTAAATCGACTTCTCCTATCATCACTTGGACAATGGCCGCAGCAAGACCGCACTTCAAAAATTTGCGCGCTTATAAGTGCCGTTTTTTTCCTTGCGTCTCAAGGATACTTTCAGGTATTTTATTTTTTTCTTCTTTTCTAATTAATAAAATGTTAATTAATTTTTTTTCAAGACTGGTGGGATGATTGCTGCGTTGCGTGATCCGCCTATTTTCATGGAATCGATACCTCCGGTTTTAATAAGTGTTATGTGTCTTGTCAAGTTTATTAATTTTAATTACAACGCCGATAAGGTTCGTTTAACTTTTGAAAGTCTTGCAAATTTTTTAATCAATTAAATTATTAATTTAAAAAATTTTTTTTCATAAAATTTGGACGCCTAACTTATAAAAATTTTATTTTTTTTTTTTTTAATACTAAAAATAATTAATTTTTCCTATAAAAATAATTATATAGATGAAAAGACTTTTGGAAACACTACAAGCCGATTGGAATTCTATCGATGATGAAAAAGAACTTGAAATTTTGAATTCTTGGGCTAAGAATAGTAAGAAGACAACAATTATGTATGCAGGTACCCGAAAACTTTGTTAATTTTATAGAAAAATTTATTTCTTTTTAAATAATTGTAATTCAGGCGCAGTCTATGGATCCATGGTTCCATTTATGCTAGGACCACTGGTGCCGATAATTTGCAAATTTATTCCCGAAAGCATAGTACCTTCGAACAGCAGCATAGCTTCTGCAAGGCCATTGATGTTTCATATAGAATACTTGTATGATATAGAGAAATATTACTTTCCGCTGGTTATACATTCATATTTTGGAACTATGACGTATATAACTGTTGTTGTTGCTATTGATACGATGTTTATGGTCTACGTACAACACGCCTGTGCAATTTTTGTAGTCATTGGGTATGATTCCAATTAATTACAAGAAAATGTTAAATATTTAAAAAATATCATTTAGAAAATAAAAAAATTTTGTTTGGCATATTTTTATTCAAAGAAGAATTTTTATAGTTAAATTTGGTATTATTAAAAATATTTTGATATAAATTTGGATTTTTTTACGGTTTTATATTTTTTTTTGGTAATAATCAATTTTTTGAAGGAATTTTAGATATTTTTTTCCATGAAATTTTTTAATTAAATTGATCTTATAATAAAAATATTATTTTAAAAATTTATTTTCAAGTAAATTATAATTGAAAGTATCGAATTATATAGCTATTAATTTTTTATCAAAATTATTGAACCCTCAAAAAGTCAAATTTCTTCATTTTTAAGTTCAAAATTACTAAAGATCATTACTAATGATTAAATCATTAGAATTAAAGCATACTTTCAAAATTTGTTAAGAATTTTTTTCCCAATACGAATAGTAGGCGAAAATTTAATAATAATCCATTGAAAAATAAATTTTTTTTTTATTAGAAATCGCTTGGAACGTTTAGTCGACCACGATACAATATTTTTCAACGCCAATCTAGATATTTCAATCGACGAACCTTACAAACGGATGATCAAATGTATAATCCAACACAGCAAAACTCTTGAGTTAGTAAAACCTTAAAAAAACTAATTACTTAATTATCATTATAATTATGATAAAAAATTATTTTGATAATTCAGATACACGCAATTGATTGAATCAGCAAACTCTGTATCATTTCTATTTCAATTGGGAATCAACATGGTCACTATCAGCTTCACTGGCTTTCAAGTATGCTCAATTTTCCAATTCCAATTTCCAATCAAGACATTATTAATTTCAATTTTAGGCCGCAATGAAATTGGACCGCCCTGATGAAGCTTTTAGGTACGCAAGTTTCACAATTGCCCAAACGTTCCACCTATTTTTTGAAAGTTGGCCCTCGCAAAGATTGGCCGACGAAAGTGCTCGGATAAGCGAATACACGTTCGTATTTTATTTATTTATTTATTTCATATACAATCAAAATAAAAATTATTTTAAAAATTTTTTCTCCTCAAAAATAAATTTGAATGTCAAGGAAATAAAAATTGAATGAAATGGAATTTATAGAACAAAGTGTGCTTGGTACCTCACTTCAATGCGCTCTCGGAAATTACTTCATCTCTTTATAATGAGAAGCACTTCGCCCTGTCAATTGACGGCTGGTAATTTTTATGTTTTAAATTTGAAAAACTTCTGCGCAATCTGTAAGTCCTCGATGTCATTCCTTACACTTTTGTTTTCGATGCAGTAATTATAAATTTTTGACGTCTGTAAAGTTACACTGAAAAAAAAATTTAATTGAACCAAGAAAAATTTGTTAGTTTAAGAATTTTTCTACTCAAATTTAAATAAAGTTTTTTAAAATAATTTTTTTGATTCACATTAATTTTTTTTCTCTATTGTTTTGATACAATTCAGCATGAACCGATATTATTGATGATTGTTCGGAATGTAATCAACAAAATTATAATTAGAGCAACAATTTTAACATCACAAATAAATTTTGTTGATTAAAAAATGACTGAGATACTTTACAGACGTGAATTTTCGAAAATTTTACAATTGTACAATTAATATTTAAGTTCTCGTCCATATTTAAAATATTTAAATAACTTAATCTTGGAAATTTGGACAATAAATGAAGATATTACATTATAAAAATTTCCATTTTTACAATTTAATATCTTAATTTATTTTCCAAATTCCCAAAATTAAGTTATTTAAATATTTTACAATTGTTTCCGTATCCATCACTCTTCATGCTTTTTTTACATTTTCATACAAACATGTTCATCTTACATATAGCATAAAATTTTATATTATGTAAGTATTATTACACTATTGTCATACTGAATTTTATAATAAACATTTTGTCATAACTATTGTTAATAAAATTATTTATATTGTTATTAAGCCAAAAAAACTGACGTGATAATTTGTAAAAATAAATTTTTATTATTCATTTTATTTCAATACCAAAGCAGCCGAACAGCAAAAGGTAAATTTACCATAGAAGTTTCTCCAAATAATAAAAATATTTTTTTCGAGACATTTGTTATACCTTCTACTTTTGAATACAATGTTACCCCTATTATATGTCGCCTATTGCGCAAGGAAATTGACCTTTAACAAAGGAGGTAATTCCAAGAAAAGTTGTTAAGTTTCAGCGAATTTTTCATACGTGTCCGTCATTTTTGTTCTCTTTTGATGACAAGCAATTTAAACGTCTGTCACACTCGAGCTGACTGCAAATGTAGACATCAAACATAAAAGTTGAAACATTGCGTGATAGAAATTCAAAGAGGAAGTTTTTAAATAATAAAATAAAATGGACTTTTTTGACAGTCACTACTACAAAGGGATGAAGGTGTTGCTGTGCTTGATAGGTCGCTGGCCGTATCAAACTCGCAAACAAAGGGTGGTGATGACCTCAGTGGTTTCTACCTTCTGGTCTTACACAATGTTTCACCGAGTCGGTCAAATTTAATAAAACAAATTTTATGCAAGCTAACAGTCAAATTTTTAGCAATTTTAATTTAATTTTCAATTTAAATTTTTAGATGCTGGTCTATAATCACTATGATAATTATTCAAGTAAACAAGAGGTAGTTATAGAAACAATTTCACCGCTGTTAGTGGATTTTATATGCTTGGTGAAGTATATTACTACTTCCTTCAAAATGGATACTGTTTGTTTTTTTATACTAACAGTTAAATTTTCAATTTATTAAATTTTCAATTTAAAATCATTTTTTTGAAATTTAGATTTTAGGTCTGTTGGAACATATCAAAGAGGATTGGAAAATTTACTCTGGAGAAGAGAAAAAAATACTTGAATACTACGTTAATTTGGGAAAAATTTTTTCGATTGGTTACGTAGGTAATGTTTGTCAAAATTTGGTTTGATAATCATAATTGTAAGTAGTCCTTTAGTAAAAAGTTGATGTGACGTTTTCATTGTTGTCGCTTTTCGTTGCTATGGTAACCGTTGCTATGGTAACTGTTGGCATAGTAACGGTTGCTATGGCAAATTTTATCCATGAAAATAATCATAACTTTTATTAAAAAGTTGATGTGACGTTTTCATTGTTGTCGCTTTTCGTTGCTATGGTGACCTTTTTTGGCAATGGTTATCATAGCAACGGTTACCATGGCAACGGTTAAATATTAATGAGTACAATTTGTAAAAATATTGATTAATTAAATTGTTGATAATAAATATTTTGACAGAAGCGTGCAAAGCGCGTTCGATTTTCTAGTGAATAAAATTTTTGATACTTTTCAGGTGCCGTGTACATGGTGACAATTTTGTTCATGACAGAGCCGATAGTTGAACAAACATACTTCAAAATATTTAAAAATATAACTATTCCTAAAAGGTTTTCAATTCCGACCTATTGGGAAACGCCAGATGTTGAAAAAAATTTTTATTATTTAATTTCATTTCAAACTGTTAATACTAACTTCATTATAAGCATCACTTGCGCAAGCGACGCAATGTTTGTTATTTTGTTGCAACATGTTACGGGGCTCTTTTCGATTACAGGGTAATTTAGTCACTTATACAGATAGAAAGATTAGCTTGACTCAAAAGAAAAAATTTTTTAGCTAAGATAAAATTCTTGGTTTAAAAAAAATTTTTTGCCTCAAGAATTTGTTCTCTAGTCTCAAGAAATTTATTGTTTTCCTTGTAGTAATCTTGGTTCAAGAATTTTTGTCTTGAGTCAAGCTAACCTTTCTACCCGTATAGTTATTCGTTAAGCTTCTCGCTATGAAAACTGAAGATTTTTAAAATTTCAAAAGTTTTTGTTTTTACTACGATTTTTGGAATAACTTTTAAACTACTGGATCTATTTATTTTCACGTTAATCGGCTCTTAACTTAAAAAAACTGAGTCGATTACTACGAACTGGATCAAAATCTACCGATTTCTTCAAGAGATATCGTTAACATAATATTTCGTAAAGTTTTTTCTATGGAATAATGATGAAATTTCTTGTGAAATCGATTTTTGAACTCAAAGAGCTCAAAAATTTATTGTATTCAGATTTTCAAGCAGTTTAAACTTTTAATTGGCTAGAAGCTCCAAGAATCAAAAAATATTTACATTTTTTTATATATTTCTAGTGTAATTTTTGTGAAATTCAAAATTTTGGGTTTAAATGATGAAAATTGACATCAAATTGTCGTTTTGGTTTTTTTTTTTTTTTCTATAAGCTTTTTCTACTTACTCAATTATATATTTTTCTTTCATTTACTTCTTATAGATATCTGTTGGAAAATATACCAATTGAAGATCTTAAAATTCAAAATGGATCTAAAAAGGTGAAAGACATAGTATATAAACATTATGTTTATTGTATGAAAAGCCATAAAAGAGCATTAGAGTATGTATTACTTTAAAAAGTCAAAAATAATTGAATAAATAAATAAAAAACAATTTTAAAAAGAACAAAAATCAAAAAATTACTAGATTCGCTGAAAATCTCGAGTCCATTTACGTCTGGTGTTTTGGAATGGTGATACTTATCAACATGTGTGTAATGAGCATAACTGCGATGCAGGTAAAATGTATCAATTTTTTTTTTTTAATTGAAATATGAATTATAACATTGAATTTTTTTCAGCTTACTACTGGCGCGTCAAATGTATTGCAATCACTAAAATACGGAACATTTGCAGGCGTGCAATTGCTGCATCTTTTTTTCTACTGTTTTTTGTCACAGAAACTTTTGAGCAGCAGTTCGATGATACGTGAATGCGCGTAAGTCCAAATTTTTACATTATTTTGTTTGCCAACTAGTTAATAATTGAAAAATTTGATTGATTGGCAGGATGAATGGAAAATGGTACCGTTGTTCAATAAAAGCCCAACGGCTGGTAACGATAATAATAAGGAGAAGTCAAACTCCTTGCCAACTTACTGCGGGAAAAGTTCTTGTGATGTCAATGGAGACTTTTACATCGGTAAAATTTTTATAATTTATTTGTACTTATTTTTAGAATTTGGATTTCAAGTTTTTGTTTAAAATTTTAAGATTGTCAAAACATCTGGGTCGTACTTCACAATGTTGGTACAAATGCGAAATGTGTAGTCCAAAATTATAAATTTTAACGCGTAGTACATTTATGAAGTAACTATTCAAAATTATACTATAATAATAATTCAAGTAGATTCATACATACATATTCATGTTTTTTTTATTTCATCCCAAATTTGCACGGAATAGATCTTTTTTTTTTTTTATAAAATATTAATTTCATTTCAGATTCTTGAATGGTTCATGATCATAAATCAATATTTAAAACTTCTTCTATAAATCAAAAATATTATTCATGATGACACGCTCATTAGATATTTTGAATATATAACACTGCAAAGTCACAATACATCAAATTTAAGAGCAAATAAACATTTTGTAAATAAAATGTTCCCGTTTTTAATTTTCCAATTGTTTTTTTTTTTTATTTTAATTAGAAAAATTGATTACTATTCGATAAATTTATGTAACCTGCCTTACCAACATTGTTTCCGTTACCATAAACATAATAAGTATTACCTGCAGGCAATACATGTGTTGTTCAGGTAATTCAGGTAAGCTACCGCCAATCACCAACATACCGACTGTATACTTCATATTTTCTCTTTATTCCTATCCAGGCAAGTTACCTTACGGTAGCATGGTTCAAATGTACCATCAAAACTTTTCAAAAATTCTCAACCTACTCAAATTTCAAAATTTTTCATGTAAAAAATTTTTTGAACTCCTTTCTGACGAGTTTTTTCCACAGGAAAATCATATTTTTAATTTTTTTATTGACAAATTAAGTTTATGTAATTTTCAGAATATTAACAAACACAAAAAAAAATTAACTTGATTGCAGAGAAAAATTCTTAAACCAAAAAAATAATTTTGAAGAGTTTCATTATCTTGAATCAAGAAAAATTTCTCGGTTAAATATTTTTCTAGCTAAATTAATACAGCGAAACTTTTGTAAAATAATTTTCTTAGTTCATAAATTTTTCTCTGCAATCAAGATAATTTTTTTTTCAGTGTTCATAATTTATTATTTAAAAATTTACAATATTATCTTAATTTTTCTTTAACGTGTTCATAATTTTTTAATTTAAAAATTTACAATATTACTTTAATTTTTTTTTTAATAAAAAAATTATGCAATAATTGATTAAAATTTTTCTTTCTTTTAAAGAAAATTAAATTAATTATAAGATTGAAAAAAGTAAAAATTAAAAAACAGAAAAGGTGGAAAAGTGTAATAAATAAGATGTAATCAAGAAAACGTTGACCTACCAGAGTAATCTTACAATCAAAAAACCATAAAAAGAAGTAACGATCTACCCTAAAAGATAGCAGATAGCATCACAAATTTAATATAAAATTGAGGATGACACTATTATCCACTAATAGCCAAATGCAGATGCAGATGCGTCCTTTTCTACTCCACATGATCCTCAAGAATTTCTAATTATACACAGTAAACACATCCATACAGACAGAGTTTCCTTGCCAGGTACCTGCGTAGAAACGAAAAGTCGGAAAAGTCATCAGCGGTCTAGATCTTTGATTTCGGTGGCGATAACTCGTGTTTTCTCCAAGAGTTCCGAGGTCGCGTGCCACCGTTGATAGCTTCCGCCTGAACGCGCGCTACGGCTTTCTTATTTTTTATATTGTATATTTTGTATTTTATATTATATATATTATATATTATAGGTACGAAGAGTTCCGTTGTACATTGTACAGGCGTCTCGTTATTAAGGCGGATGCACCAACATTATTACCGAGTACGGCGGGCTCTATTGTAGAAGCATCTGTCGTTATTCTAGAGACAACTGAAGAAACTGGACAGTCAGTACATAACAGGGAAAGCCGGAGGAATTTTTATCAAACCAGGAAATTTTTAATTTATTTTCTATTTTCTATTACAACCCTCTTTCTTTTTCGTTCTGCACCCTCTGACGCTGTGGTTGAAAATATTCTATTAAAAAATTTTTAACTTGTTGTTGATTGATTGAGCGAGGAGAGTTTGATTGGAAACGAATTTTTGAGCAGGAAAAATGGGGAGTGTGATTAAAAGCGAATTTATTGAGCATTTTTGGTTTTTATGAATTTGGGTGGTTTGATGATTTTTTTAGGGCTGGAGAAATTTTTTTCAGGAAAATTAAGTTTTATCAGAAAGTACATACAATTCTGAAGAAAATCATGTATGATTTGATATTTTTTCATCCATCTTAAGACAAATAATATGAATTTGGGAATACTTTAATATTAATTTCAAGGTAGAGAAAATTTTTTTCAACAAAATGAAAAATTTTATCAAAAAGTACACTAAATTCTGAAGAAAATGATGTATGATTTTGTATATTTTGATAAATTGAAAGGGTAATAATAATTAAAAGAAAATTTATATTATGGAAGCGATTTTTGGTAATTATGAATTTGGGAATACTTTAATATTAATTTCAAGGTAGAGAAGATTTTTCTCAAAAAAATGAAGAGTTTTACCAAAAAGTAAATTAAATTCTGAAGAAAATAATGTATAAATTTGTATATTTTGATAAATTGAAAGGATAACAATAATTAAAAGAAAATTTATATGTATAGAAGCGATTTTTGGTAAATATGAATTTGGGGATACTTTAATATTAATTTCAAGGTAGAGAAAATTTTTTTCGACGAAATGAAAAATTGTACCAAATTGTACATTAAATTCTGAGGAAAATGATGTATGACTTTGTATATTTTTATAAATTCAAGGGGTAGTAACTCTAAAAAGAAAAGTCAATTTTTGGTCATTAGTTCCAACCATATGTTTCTAAAAAGTTCTAAGACAATTATTATTCTTCAAAATTTATTTTGAATTATGACCGTTGAACAAATTTAAAAGAACAAATTATTATAGATCAAAAAATTCAAATTTTACAAATTAATCAAAACGAATAAACAATAAAACTTAAGTGTGTTAAAAGTAATGCAAAATCATAACCAGCTTAAATTGAAAATAAATCATGTGTCGAATTGAACCTGTGCGAAGCCTGAATGAGGTGCGAATGGTTAGCATCCACCCGAGCTCGGACTGTTGATACTTAACTTGTATGAACTCGAGTTTCATCAGCTGGCACCCGGTGAAACTCCCTCGACTTGGTATTTTATTTTTGTAGTGTCTCATCAGCCTGCTCGAGGTAACGTCTTCCCCTATCCTCTGAGTCTTTTTCTCAAAAAAAAGCTTTTTTTCCGACTCACGGCTCCCCACGCGTCAGACACGTGTGCAGGTATGCGAGACCAACCAGCTAAGCAATCAAGTACCAGGGAACAATCTAATGGAGGTAAAAGGTACGAGAGCGAGGGAGTCGAACACATATACTGTTCGGATCAAAGTGCCACTTGCCATTGACGAGAAGGGTAACCGGTGAGGAAAAGGGAGACGAGGCACGGATAGAGGGGGGGAGTGTGGTTTTATATACATTTAAAGTTAACTTACATTTAGGCATAAGTCGGGTCTCCCTCTACTCCAGCTACTCCAGAAAACCCGGGCAGGAGCACCAGGTGCACGTTATCTAGGGATGAGCACGAAATGAGGTGGGACCATATGTTGATGCATTGGAGAACGCCCTGGCACGCGCCACACTCAAACTCGAGCCTTTGCCGAGCGAGGACGAGCTCTCTCTTCTCTTCTCTTGTATTTATTGTTGATTTAATTTTTACAACTATTTATATTGCGATAAATAACTTTGTGGTTTGGTGATAAATGTCCCTGTGATGTGCATCGAATGATTTTTTACCCGCCGGAGGACATTCTTCGCGCGGGTAATCGGTAAAAAAACAAAGATAAAAGTGCGAAAATATTGGTATTACACGATAATTGACCGCCGACAATGGCGCTCCTGTCAAATCAAGGAATCTATCATCAATCAACGGATATGATCAACAATTACCAGACGGGAAATCGATCCTACGGAGATCCCCTCTATCCATCACCGTACAACTCTCCGGACTACGACAATTTGCCAGGCTACAGAGAACATTACACCGCGAATCTTGAAGTCAATGTTAATAATCTTACGCCGAGGCGGGATTTAGAAAACATCGAGTTCCCCAGTGATCAATGTCATGAGTATGCTAAAACTCCAGAGGGATATGAAAGAGAGCCTTACGGTGTTCTTACACCTTTAACACCGCAGAAGTAAGTCATGTTTTTAATTGCTCGTTATAAGATTTTGTTATTAATGTTTTGTGATTTATTTATGAGATGAATTGATGATTATATGTTTGCTGGTTACTGTTTGGTTTTCAGGTAAATTAAGATTTTTTTATCAAAGATCATCGATCAGATCATATATGGTTTACATCATAGAATTTTATGATTTAGATACAAATAAATAGTAATTGGAAATTTTGTATTTTTTTGTTAGAAGTCAAAACATCATACATTAGTAAAGAAAACCATTTATGATCATATATAAATAAACAAAAATAGATTTATGGACAGATAAGATCATATATGGCTGAAGGTGAATCAGAAAAAACAAATGTGAACTTATATGATCAAAAAACTATATATGATCTGGAGTTATGGTTCATATATGATCCATATGTAGAAAATAAGACCATATGTGATCTTATATGAACAGAAACATTATATGTGACCATATATGGATATACATGAGCATATATGAACAAAAAAACCATATGTGATCATGAGTTAACACTTATAAGTGGTCACATACAAAAAAATAAGATTATATATGAACTTATATGAATAAAAACTATATATGATAATGAGTTAGCACTCATATGTGATCAGATGTATGAAAATAAGTCTATGTGGACAGAAAAATTATATATGATCATATATAGATATCCATAAGCATATATGAACAAAAAAATCATATGTGATTATGACCTATCACTTATAAGTGGTCACATATGATAAAATAAAATTATATGTTAATTTATGTGAACAGCAAAAATTGTATATGACCATATAAGATCATATGTAGATAGCTATATATGATGATATATGAATAAATGCGACCATATGTGATCATTTATGGAATTCAATTAGATATTGATTAAAACTTCATAAATTATGTTATGTATAAAAAATATATGGCCATTATTTATGATCAAAATTTATATTATCACATATGAACATATATTATGCATATGAATTATTTTTAAAAAATTTTTTGCACTTTTTTTTAATGGAATTATATTAATAAAAAATATTAATTTATGATTACAGATTTGTAACTCATGGATCTGTTGAACATATCACGTCACCAAGATCAACACTATATGAAGACAACTCAATGGAGTGTCAGGTACCTGTTTATTGCTACGAGACACCACCACAAGAACCCAGATACCTTATTGACAATGACACGTGTCAACGGAGCAGCACTGACGCAAGGAAAAATTATTGGGAACCTGTTGCAAGTCAGGTATGCATCAGCATTTCACAAAAAAAAATATATCTTTTTGTGTAACTGAAGAAAGAAGGAAAGAATGAATTTGGATTAATTGATTTAATTGTTAATTATATGATTGAAGGTCCAAGACTCGCCAACTTCAAGCCCCAGAAGAGGAAGAAGAAGGTCCCGAAATGTCCCTCCATCGCCCAGTATTGTAAAACGCCGACGATTGGCGGCAAATGCCAGGGAAAGACGTCGTATGAACGGACTTAACGACGCATTTGATAAATTGCGCGAAGTGGTGCCCAGTTTTGGCGCAGACCACAAATTAAGTAAGTACGAAACGCTCCAGATGGCGCAGAGTTACATCGTTGCGCTCTGCGAATTGTTGGAGCAACACGACGGTAAAGTTTGAGGCTTCTAGGAAAATTTATACGTTTATATTTTTATATAAATAGATATATTTAGTTTTGTACTGATAGTAAATAGAATATAATTTTTAAAAATCCGTTGATTTATCGTAATTTAAGTAGCTGATTAAAGTGGCGTTGGCGAAGCGCGAGAGTCTTTAAACTCTCACACGGTAGTTCAGGGTTCGAATCCCGGTGGCGGTCGAATAAAAAAATGTATATTTAGTTAATTATTTGTTAATTTGTATGTGATTGATTTATAAATTTTTAATTATTTATTAATTAATAATTAAAAACAAACGGCTAAAAATCCAAAGAGTGTGAAAATCAAAATACTCGGCGCTTTAAAATTCAAAAGTGCCTTAAGTATATTTTTATTCAATTAGTTAGTTAATTTTATTCCATAATCAATTAGTTTCAATTTTAATTATTTATTTATCATTAATTATAATCAAAATTTCGGATAAAAATACCAATTGATAAATTTATTTTACAAAATTGGTATTTTTTCCTTTAAAAAAAAAATTTTTTGTTTTCAATTTTTTTGCATGTAACCTCAATAGTTTGTTTTTTATTTTCTAGTCAATTGCCATGTTCATTTACTTAATTTTCTTTGTGTTAATTTTTCTTTTAAAATAATAACTGTAATTGTATGTAATAATAATATATTGTAATAAGGTAATAAAGTAATATTGTAATGTAATAATTATTAAAAAATGTTAAATGTACGGCAGAGTTAAAAGCTCTTTGTCCAAAGAAATTGTAAATTTATTATGTATTTTATTAAAGACATTATTGTATATTGTATTATTAATAATAAATAAACTTTTTCATTTTATTAAATAAAGAAATATGTGCGTACTCTTTTGTACTTAAATTAAATACAAGGTAATTACAGTTGTAATAAAAATTTCTTCCCATCCTCATTTTAACCCTTAGTGATATTGTTCTCTACCCTTATTCCCACTGTTAACATAATAAGAATTCTTATTTTTATTTTCATTATTTTGAGGGAAAAAAATAAATAAACGACTTTCGTACTTCCTCCGCAAACCTACTTCCTTCTTTTCCCTTTAAAGAATAAATTCTCTCGGACGACTATCACTGACAATAATATTAATATAAGAATAAAAAATAAAAAACGAAGTGCATTAACCACGAGATCCGGAGTAAGACCACTACTCTGGAACTTCTTTTGATATTTAACCTTAAAATTTACTCGGAGAATCGGAAGTCCGATTTACTCTTGAGACCATTGAAAAGCGAGGTAATAGGAAGTATAGAAAAAGCTAAGCAGTGAATTGAATGGCCAGAGGCATGAGGTATGAGGTAAGGTGGTATACATCAAAAACATAAGAGAAATGAAGACCGGTTGTCGAACAACGTCGACAGTGATCAGACAACATTCCGACCTGCCGGAACGTACAGGACAAAGATGTCGATGAGGTCCATGACACTGACAACGATCATCACAAAACGACAATTTTAAATCATCCTTATTATGATCATACCTATAACATATTTATATGTGGTACATAAATATCAGTCATAAGTTGTTATTATAATCATAATAATAATAATAACTATGATGAAAAGGAATTTGTGTACTTTGACTTTTTGCTAATTCCTTTCATGTAACAAAAGTTACATACGGCAATAAAATTTTTATTTGTGTTGTTTATATTGATTTCGGGATTGAAGATATGTCCGTAAATGGTTTTATAACATACTTTCTTTTTTTAAGAATATGTCTTCTTCTTTAAAAGTTTGGAATATTTTTGTTGATTTTTATATTTATTCTTTTACAAAATAAAAAAAATTCTCTTTGAAAAGTTAATTTTCAGAAGCAAAAAAAAGTTTCTTGAATTTTTTTTGTATAAATAACTTCTGGCACGACTTTTCTATGGTAATGAAAAAAGAAAGTTTGGAAAATCCAAAAGTGCACGCCTCATAATCTCATTTTTCGTAATAAAATTGATTAAAATAAAATAATAAAAAACAGAAAACTCTGCTATGATTTAGTGGCGCCATAATTCTAAGGTAAGGAAAAAAAATACTATAATAAAATTTATATATAGATATACAAATACAGTCGTATCTTAGTTTTTTATAACTCTATATTATTAAGAGAATAAAAAGAATTTTCCAGGATAGTCATATGATAAAATCGGTTTTTTTAGTGAAATTTAGTGTCATTGCAAAAGTTTTGACTTAAATTTGTGCCTTTTCAAAATTTCATATCATTTTCACCGATAGTTAATTTATTATAAGTATTTAGGCTGCATTCGAAAATGCTCTATCTCTAGAAACATAATTAATAAATGATCTTCTATCTTGAGAATTATTGAAATTTTTAAAGATATAAGCTCATCCCGATGTTACACTCATCAAGACCTTTCATTTGAGCACCCACATCAATTTTTCATATATTTTATATATTTATATATATTATATATATGTATATATGAAAAATATATCAAAATGCATGTAGGTACCCAAATGAAAGCTCTTGATGAGTGTAACATCGGAATGAGCTTATATCTTGAAAAATGTCAATAATTAAGAACTGACATCGCTATCTCGTCATCTAATGATATTTTTGAGGATATAAGCTCATCTTGATATTACACTCATCCAGATCTTTCCTTTGAGTACCCACACCAATTTTTCATATATTTTATATATTTATATATATAAATATATGAAAAATATATCAAAATACGTGTGGGTACTCAAATGAAAGCTCTTGATGAGTGTAACATCGGGATGAGCTTATATCTTTAAAAACGTTAATATTTAAGACAGTACAGTGCACAAGTCACGGCAGTCACATAGTTGCTAGTAATAATTAAACGGCAGTGAATTGAACGCTCATATTAATTGAGAAAATCCGCGGTGTGTTACTTATCATTTTAAAAATTTTTCATCCACATTTTTTATAATAGCCCATCTAAAATATTAATGGGTGTAGAAATAATGTTTTTATACGTTGTTATACATGTTAAACAGATAAAGATTTTTCCTGGTATATAAAATTAAACATAATAAATACTAGACTCTAAAGTTGAAGGGCTCACTAAACTACGCGGCGGATTTAATTCGTGTATAAACAAAATAACTAAAAATAAAGAAGATGAATGCATGATATGTTGGTGCGTCAGTATGTGTGACTTGTTAAAAACTGTCAGATGGTGAGTAAATCGGTAACGCTGCCGTGCACGTGTTACAGTACCAAAACACCTTTGACACCATAAGGACAGCGAAGATCGAAACTACTCCTTTTGTCCGTATACCTGCATCACTATATATTATAATATTATAATATTATTTTATAAGCATCATCTGAGGACTGAAGACATGTTAATACTCGAGTCTTGGTTCGCTGCCTAAAAACCGATATAAATATCTTGGTTAAATATTTAATCTGGTCACCTTGGGCCCATACTACTAAGGCCTCTTGATCTTTCTCGAAACCGAAACAATAACGTTTAATAAACGCAGTCAAGCTCCAAAAATAAAAGAGAAGAATCTAACAAACATGACAAAGGACTCGACTGTCTACGGATCTTTTATTTTTTCTACTTTTCTATTTTAGTAAATTTCTGTTTCCTGGCATTGTATCTAATCGGGGGCGGACTTGCTCGTCCTCAATTATCTTTTTACTCAAGACCGATCGCAGGTCAGTGAGGATCCTTTCCCTTTCGCCAGTGTGTTTAAAACTGTCCTACATTTGTACTTTATCCTTTTTTGATCTTTCATCATGTTGGTAAACTCTTGCTTTCTATTTTGTTCAATTCGATTGACCGATCAGTTTATTTTCTGCTTCACAATGGAATTGTTTGCTCCCTAGGGTTGTGTCGCCGTTGGGATTAAAAGTATAGAATGTTTTTAACAAGTCAGAAGTCATTTATATTGTACTAAGGATTATACTAACCGAGTTGGGAATTTTTCGTAGAAAAATTTATATTTATTGAAAAATATCTAGTGTCTAATTTTAAATTAATTTAATCTAAAATCGGAAAATTTTTAGATGTCTTCTGTAATATTTATTTAAAATGAACTTAAATTTTTTTATCATTTTAATAAAAATTATACTAATAAAAAATTAACTTAATTCAAAAAAAATAATTTTAAATAAATCTTTTTTAATAAAGAAGAAAAATTTATAATTCAAATATTTTTCTGCTTAATTTTAAACAGTTAAACTCTTTTATATGCTTAATATTTATTTTTATATTGATAAAAAAATTCTAGTAAAATTAAAAAATAATTAAATGAATTTTTTGATCAATTAAAATTTACTCAAGCTAAAAAAAATTTTTTAAATAATTTTCTTGGTTCAAGAAATTTTCTCTTTAATTTTTTATCTAAATTTTCTGTACATTTTTATCTATATTGAACATATATTTTTTTTTGTAACATAATTTATCTTAAAAAAAAAAAACAACGCATGTTACAAAACCAAACAAAAGGCTCTTTAACATTTATAAAAAGATAAAACCAAAAATTAATAAAATTAATTCGTCTCGATACATCCGGTTGTTAGAAAACAACGACTTAGCTGGTGTGAAAAAAAAAAGTATTAAGAATACTAAAAAGTCATTTTCGATTTACCGGTTTTCATGTTCGGATTATGATTCAGCGCTCGGTTTTGTCTTGAAAACCCGAACAAATTAAGACCAGTCGATATTATACCGAAAAGCGCGTGTATATTTTACCTTTTCGATAAAACAGGATTTATCTCTAATAGCTTGGGATTAGATTTTATTTAACGATTCCAACCTTTTTAATCTCTAGACCTTTTTGGTTTTAGTTTTAGTTCTGGCTCTTGTTCTTCTGCTCCGGAAGCAAAGATCATCATTAGTCGGTATCTGTGTAGCCGAGTAACTTCTCGTCCTACGACAACTTTAAAGCTGCTTTCGTCGGCTTTTGTTTAGACAACACGTCCTAATTATGGTACCTGGACTCATCTCAGTCTGGTACATAAGGAAAATTTACAGAATTC